GGGGGTCCCAGGCATGGCAGCTGCTCAGACTCCCCTCAGAGGCAGGGCGGAGCTCGGTGGTCGCACAGGCACCTGGCGGCCAGGGAAGGAGACGCTGGGGAGGCTGGTCAGCGCCTGCAGCGTGTCGCCCGCGCGGCTGAATTTGCTCTGGCGAGCTAGAGCTCAGCCTGGTGGCAGCCGGGGACAGGGAAGCCTCCTGCGCTGCACGCGTGAAATTTGCGGGCGTCTGTCTGGGGCGTTCTAACGGCACCCAACGAGGAGACATGAAAGGAAACGGTAGCTGTGGAGGTGGAGGGCAGGTCAGTTAGCTTCATGGTGGCCACGTAGGAGCTGTGCGTGTCTCCAAACCCCAAGCAGCACGCCTTGAGGACACGCGGTTTTAGCTGCGATAAAGTCGAACCGCAAAGAGGCGTCACGGCGAGCTGCACAGCCAGCGGCCGCGGGCAGGACCCTCCTGGTGGCGAAAGCGGGCCGCCGGCGAGTTCTCTCTTTTTCTATGAGATACTGGAAGGGTCCGGCTGGAGCACCAGGGAGGAGCCCGGGCTGCCGCTGGGGGCCGCACCAAGCCCAGCGACCGCTGAGCGACTTCAGATGGGCGACAGGCCCCAGGGCAGATGCCACAGGACAAGACTGCACAGAGAATGAGGCAAGGAGATAAAACTAGGACGGTCCGATCCGAACGAGCAAAGACGGCGTCACAGATTCCTGCCCGCCAGCGTGGCCCGATGGCCGTCCACCCACGGAGCGCAGGGCCTCTGGACGAGCCAGCGAGACGGCGGTGCTCTGGGCCACCGCAAGCTCCAGCCATCTACAGTCGCTCAGTTGGCCCTGGCTCGGCCCCACCCCCTCCCTGACCAGCAGGAGGGCGAGGCTGGACCTGGAAGGGCACTGGAGTGGCTCTCTGGGCTCCGGCACCAGGCCCGGGAGAGCCAGCCCAGCCCAGGAAGGCGGCAGCCGGCCCGGGCACGTTTTTGTGTCCAAGGCCAGCGACGGACGAGAACCGCTGTCCCGTGGACGGCCGGT